GTTTGATTCAGGCAGAAAGCTAAATCCTTGATTAAAAATTTGAACCAAATTTCTTGACGTGGTTACCGACTGCAAAATAGAAAAGACCACAGTGTGTCTCTTATTTTTCTTATTTATTCAATTTTCAGCAATAGAAATTAGATCATTCTTTTCTCACGCAAGGCTTATGATTAGTTGATTATAATGACTGGAAAAAAAATTGGGGTGCCCGTGCTCGTTGGTGAGCTAGAGCCATTTATTAACTGACAGAGCTCAATATCAAGGCAAATCCGTCATGTTTTCAATATGCGCGTGCACGAGCGCGCGCTAATGACGCCATAAATTATGCGCAGTAAGGATGCGCAATGCAAATGTTAGGAATGACCTTAAGTCTACCGCCGACCAAGTGCAGGTTTTCGATTGGATATCGGGCTCATGTCAGGTTAACTTGTTGTAGTCAGGGCCGGGTTGTTTGGAAGCCGGTTAATGCTAACCCAGGATTATAAAAGTAACCAAAGTGTAATTTTTTCTTGTGTACAAATGGTTTTCACTGCTTTTGTTTTTGAGTATTTCGAGGACCTGGAGATTTGTCAAACTCAAACAACATAAACAGAAAACCTCACGTTATAGTTACAAAACTCAAATCAAAATTCTCGCTTATCCTGGGTTAGCTTAATCGGGCTTTGAACAACCAGGTCCAGGAGCGCCGCTTTTAGGCTTGGTTAAATCTATATATCAGAAAGCGTTTCAAGAAAAATAAGACAGTCAAGCTTGTTTTGGCACCTCCTAAATCCTAAAATTCGCCCCGATGCCAATCTGGCTCCTTTCCAAGTTGTTTTTTTATATAACGTCAAATCAACAAATGGATTTCAGATGACGTCAAAATGTGGTAAGATCCAAAAAGTGCTACACCAGGTCTCTCTCTTAAAAGACACGGTCCGCTAAGGTGTTGGTGTATACGGTATACTGGGCGATATTAAATCGAGTATACGGTATTTTGACGCCAACATTGGGCCTTAAATGGGTATAACGTTTACCATGTTTCTCCAAATGTTGGCATTCTACACGAAATGAGGGGACGTTTTGGTTTTTTTTTCTTTTCTGGTATATTGGCATACCACTATCCTCCCCTACCCCCTCCTCCACAGCCGATTCCGAAAAGAGAAAGTTTCTAAAAGAGTTCAATGTTTTACTGTTTACAAGGATTTTTATTTGTGGTTTTATAGTAATCATGCTTCAATAAGAGGCGTTTGACAACATCCTTCGATCGCCTCAACGAATATCCCGAAAACATCGTAGAGAAAACTAAACGCCATCACATACGTGACCCCCAAACTGCAAATACAAAATGGTTGTACTTTAAAATCTCATTCATTTCAGTCCGACTAGATTACAGAATAACCAGGATCTTCGGCAAAGAAGACCTCCCAAAAAAATACCCGTCGCTCACAAATCCTACACGCTGAGACAAGCCCTCTCTCACCACACCCAAAACACATGCACGAGAACAAACTGCCCTATAGCAAACACCAACCTGTGCCTACGAAGAAATACGTGTTCCAAGTCACCTGCAAGAGATGCAACAAATTTTACATCGGAAGCACAACGCGATTTGTACATGATCGCATTAAACAACACCTGAACAACAACAACTCGTCCGTAAAAAAACACATTACAACGGGTCAAGGGGCAGCTAACAACCAAAACAGCCAAGGTGTTGATGTCAAAGCAATCGCACAAGAAAACGATCCTGTCAACTTGCGATTATTCGAGGAGTTCTACATCCGAAGGTGCAAGCCCGATCTTAATTCCCGTGAAGAATGCATCGAACTCTGAGACCTTCTATTTTGAA